GTTTCAGTTGTAAAACTAATGTCGGTTTCACTACTTTGTTTTGTGATACATTTAGTTTAATAAGACAAATTAATTATGTTAGCTGAAATTATTAGCCATCAGAGGATAGACTCAACTCCATGTTCAGTGTGACAGGACAGGTTTAAGACTCTGGGGTCAGTCAGCAGGCCAAGATGTCCCAACATTGTCGAACTGGTATGTCTGAAATGTTGCATATTGGCATTCTGAGGCTGGACAGCTGGTAAAATCTGAGAGACTCTCTTAGACCGAATGGAGAATGGCACTTATACTATAGTCATATAATCATCTGAGATGAATAAGTGGCTTTTAAACCACAGTTTTTCTGAAATGCTACCTTTCTCTTCTATTATTTCCCTGTGCTTTGCAGCATCAATAGTACTCTGACCTGGTAACATCTTACCATCTTACCAACATCTTATTAGTCTTCTTGGTTACTCCAAGAAGACTAATCCTGCTGACTTTTAGTGTATGCAAGTGTGTGTATACTCGTATACCTGTTGAGCATCAGGTCTGCTAGTATTTCTGGAAACAGAGACAAATGCAAGGACCTCAATGTTTCAATTTTCCCACCTGGGCATATTTCAGATTCAGCTGAGTCACCTTTCTACCAACAAACGTTTTCGTGAAGTAAGAGATTTTGGGCCGTAAAGTCTACCAATTTACCCATCGATTCCAATCAGTTGTTGGTTAATTTCATCAGGAGGAAAGTACCAAGCGCTATTGGGGTTGTTCAGTGCGCCTCTATTTCACAGGTAACGGCTTGTTTTCAGAGAACACCCCCTTTGTTTTCACTATTTTGGTTTAGCCCAACACGCTAGAGACAGATTGAAGTAAGTTATCGATGGTCAACGTCTGAACATTAAGGGGCTTCCGTGTGTGCACCTGCTCTACTGTGCACAGCTCTGTGGAACCAGCCTATGATGGTGCTTTTTGCTGCTATTTAAAGGCAGATAGATGACCCTGTCCTCTTGTGTTTTTCCCCCCCATCAGGCTTTTTCCAGAAGAACAACTCCCTTCTGCAGGAGGCGATAATCAAGCAACAGCAACACCTGCTGGGCGCAGATAGATCCAAATACAGTGTTGAGCTGCTGAAAAAAGGCCACGACGACCCCCAGCAATACGGTAAGCTGAACGGCATGGAAGTGGTGCTCTGATGCTCACTTTCATATCAGCAAGTTGTAGTTTTTTTATATGAAATTAACCTCCTTGGGGATCCCCAAGGGCTTTCCAAACAGTGTTCAACACCTGGTTTTTCCTCATGTTGATAAAATCACAAATGTAAGGAACCAAGTGATGTTTCCTGTGTCATTAGTTCTTCTGTATTTTATTTTCTATCTGCTTTTCATTTAGTGACAAAGCAGTTAAACAAGGGTACTTGTTGCTCTTCACTCCTCAGTCACACAGACATCTAGGCAAGTGGATGTCTGGGAGTCCTGTTGTTCTAACCCCCCAAACTGTCTGCCAGCTGGTTTAGTGAATAGAGAAGCAGTGTTACACTGTGTTTAGAACACAGTCAAATCAAAATGTCAGTCCTCAAGCTGTCAACGGGATTGAAATATCCATCCATCGTAACTGCTTATTCCCTAATGGGGTTGCGGGGGGACTGGAGCCTGTCCCAGTAATCAATGGGCAAGAGACGGGGTCCGCCAGTCCATCACAGGGACACACAAGGACCAACAACCACGCACACTCACCCCTAAGGAGCAATTTGGAATGTCCAATCAACCTAACATGCAGGATTTTGGACAGTGGGAGGAAGCGGGAGAACCCGGAGAGAACCCACAGACACAGGAGAACATGCAGACTCCACCCAGAAAGGTCCTGGTTCCTCTGGGGATCTTTTATATGTCATCCTGCTTTGGCCTGCTGTAGGTCCACTCAACATCCCATTTGTATGCTCATCGATGTTTACCTCTAAAGCCAGAAAATAAATCCCAGAAGAAAATAAGGACTTAATTTTTCTAATCTGATCTCAGGTCCAGACCCAAGAAGTGATGTTCACATGTGACATCCGTACACTGACAGACCATCTTCCTCTTCCCATGTCGACATGGAGACAGATGCTTCTTTCGAGCCACAGACTCAGTTGTGGTCTCCATGTTCGAGTCTTTTTGTTTTAATCAAACCAGTGGGAAAAAGAAAGCCAACAGGGTCTGTCTCTGGTTGCTCTGCTATGTGAATAATACATGGCTTGTTGGACCCTCTGGCCCATCTGATACTGGCCGGAGAGCTTTTCACACCATACCTAAAGGTGAAATGTTCAGTCATGCCATGGCCGTGACTGTGTGTGTGTTTGTGTGTGTGTCAGTTGTGTCCTGCAGGCCCACGGTGAAGGTGTTGTCCCCAGAGGACGGGAAGCACAGCATTGTCCAGGCAGCCAGGCAGCTCTGCCACTCTGTGGAGACCAAGCAGAGGAGCTCCAGGGACATCGACGTCTCCATGCTAGACGTCCTCCTCAGAGGTACTGGGGGAGCACTCCTATGGTACCAGTCAGACATTTGGACCGGCCTGTTGGGTAGCTGGTTCTGATGTCTGGTTTTATAGGTTCAGCTGCACTGAACCACAACAGAAGATAGAAATATTTTCCCCATATTTTCAAAGCGATAACTGCCTTCATTCTTGTTTCAGAGTCGAAGAATATTCCAGACCCAGAGCTAGTGGTGAAGTTTGGTCCGGTGAACAGCACCTTGGGTTTCCTGCCCTGGCACATCAGACTCACCGAGTTCATGTAAGGCTTCATACCATACCTAACACAACATGCTACCCGGCTCCTGGTGCAGTCTATGGTCATCTCCCCCTTGACTATTGTAACGCCCTCCTGACTGGTTTCCCAGCCTGTACAGTAAAACCTTTACAAATGATCCAGAACGCGGTGGCGCGTCTGGTCTTCAATCAGCCCAAAAAATCTAACGTCACCCCTCTGTTCATTGAACTCCACTGGTTACCTCTGGCTGCCTGTATCAAAATCAAGTCCCTGATGCTAGCCTACAAAGTGCTTAAGGCTACGGCTCCCATCTACTTGAATCCTGTTGCAAAACCTTATGTCACAGCTTGATCACTCCGGTCATCACTGGATTGTCGTCTAGCAGTGCCTTCACCACGCTTAAGACCATCCAGACTGTTTAATGTGTCGTTCCAAGATGGTGGAACGACCTACCAAGCGCTATAAGAACAGCAGAGTCATTGTCTGTCTTCAAGAAACTCTTGAAGACCCACCTCTTCAAAGAGCATCTCCTATCCTAACCCGTACCTCTACCCCCCCCACAGCTCCTTCTGTAGTCCCTCTACCTCTATCTCTATCTCACCACTGACTCTGATCAGTGTTTCTCCTCGTATAGCTTATTGTCATAGTGATGATAAATGTAATATGTCTACTCTGTACGTCGCTTTGGATAAAAGCCTCTGCTAAATGCATAAACACATATTTAATCAGGGCTCATGCCTGCTCAGTGAGATGGCTGAATCCCAGACAGCCCCAACAGTTCTCCAGAGCTCCGAAACACATTGAAAGCAATGTGGTTTTAAATACCCGTTACGGCATATAAGGACCGCTAACAATACTTTGATATGGACACATATCACACAAGCGTTCTTGTTATTCTAAACATGAAGAAAAAAAAATGAAAACTTCAAAAACTCCACTGCGAGCTGTGCCTGTGATGAAGCTGTTGACATGTGTTCTGCTCTCTCCCCCCAGCTCCCTGCCGTCCCACAGAAAGGTGTCGTACGAGGACTTGTTTGGTGCCCTGCAGCGCTACAGTGCCTGTCAGCAGCGCCTCGGACAGTGATGGTCGGCAGGGATCGCAGAAGAAGATCACCCCCCTCTCCTCTTGCTGTATCTCTCACTCCTGCCTCCTGTTGGACTAAAGCACTGAGACATCTCACAGATGTGCAAAGCAGGAAACGTAACGTGGTTGGCACAGGGCTCACAGCTTGTTGAACGATGTTGTATTCCAACATTAATGGAATGTGCTCTGTAACTCCACGAGGAGACTGCCTGCCCTTCACTCTTACTGTTTACTGCCCTCACCCAGCAAAGAGGCAGTGTGGCGGCCCACACCGAGGCATGCTGGGAGATACCGCCGCCTCCTCGCGGAAACCCAGCTGTGAGTCAAAGTAGTCAAAAGGTGTAAATATGAACGATTGGTGTTGCATTGTGTGCCTCCATCTTCCACTCGTACTCGTCTGAGTGTTTTCTGTTTACTGAGCAGGAGTGAAATCTAAAAGGAAAAAGGGCACAGTATGTCCTCAGACATTCCCAAAGGAAACAGATCCACCTGCTGTGTCCGGGATTAAGACTGACCGAATCCACTGGCCAAACCCCAACAGCCCGTCCTAACTGATGAATTGTTCTGTTCTGCCCATGTCTTTAAAAGAGGAATCTTCATGAATAGAGGTTTTGGAAGGCTAAGACAAATGTTCAGAGGGTTCATTCTGAATAGATAAAAGCTTTGATCCGCGTAAAATAAAGACAGTGCTCTGATCCAGGTTGTCTTTGTGTGCTGTTGGCATCACTTTACCTGTCTGTATATGTAGACCTTGACCTAATGATAAAAAAAGAGTTCTGATCAGCGTATTCTCTTTTCAAAGCTTGTTCTTTTATTTTGGATCTAAACCGATTGCATTTATGAAACGCCATTTTAACATTTTATTCAATAGGAGTGTTCAAATTCTAAGCCAATGTACTGTGCTGTTTTGGCATTCGGTTGATCTAGTTATACTCACTGCACCAGTCTACCTGGTGCTGTTTATGATTTAAAAATATACATTTCAGAAACGTTTGCATCTTAATTAAAATAAAAAAACACTTGTACCAGGTTTCCAGTCCCCTCTGGTACCTATCCCACTGGGCCAGAGGTGAGGAACACCCTGGCAGGTCACCAGTCACAAAATCATGTAGAAATATGGGCTAAACAAAATGACCGTTTAAACACGGTACACCACAAGACTTCAACAGCTGGATGCCTATGTAAGGCAAGCCAAGTCATAAAATGAATCGACAAAATAAATTAGATAAAAACTGAAGGTTGCAGATGAAATGCATTTAGTTTCCATATGCACAATTAAACAGAACCATTTTCAGCCTGAAGTTAAACATTGTCAGAGTCGGGGTCTGTCTCACCTCTTCAGGAAGACTGATCCAGATTTGAGGAGCATGAAACTGTAATGAAGCCTCTAGTTGTTTAGTTCTGTCTCTGGGCACCACCAAGAGACCATATGGCTCTAACATGTCAGAAATGGACTCAAGACCATGGAGAGACTTTAACACATCAGAGCTGTTTTAGAGTCTGTTCTCTGAGCTACAGGAAGCCAGAGCAGAGACCTGAGACCTGAGAACTGGACTGATGTGGTGGTATTTCCTGGTTCTGGTCAGAACTCTAGCAGCAGCGTTCTGGATGTTCAGCAGCTGGATCACAGCTGGTTTAGAGCCCAGTGAGCAGCTGTTACTGTTGTCTAACCAGCTAGAGACTAATGCATGGATTAGTCTTTCTAGGTCTGGTTTAGACTCTATTCCTCTGATTCTGGATTTTTTTAGATGGTAAAAGGCTGCTGATGGTTTTGATTTAATGGAGCTGTCAGGTCTGAATCCAGTATTACTCCAATATTTTTTTAGTTCCAGAGAGAATGTCTGAATGTGGCTAATTATATTTTATCTTAGTTTCTGTGGGCCGCAGACAATGATTTCAGCTTTGTCTGGGTTTAACTGGAGAAAGTTGTTCTGCATCCATTAACTGATCTGTTCGACACAACGACGGAATAAATCTACAGGCCCTCGTTCTCCTGCTGTCAGTGACACGTAGATCTGAGTGTGAACAGATTATGGCTGCGTATTAGCTGGCCCAATGGGAGCACGTACAGATTGAACAAAAGGGGTCCAAGGATTGAACCCTGGGGAACCCCACAGGTAAGACCCATTTGGTCTGAGACTCAGTCCCCAATTTGAACAAAGTAACACCTTTCTTTCAAGTAGAACTAAACCAGTTTAAAACTGTACCAGATTCCCACCCAGTCCTCTAACTTCTGTAATAAAATGGTCACATGGTCCACTGTGTCAAAGGCAGCGCTCAGGTCCAGCAGAACTGAGACTTTGCCTGCGGCTGAGTTCAGGGGATGTCGTTGGTCACATTGATCAGAGCTGTCTCAGTGCTGTGGTGGGGCCTAAAGCCTGACTGGAAGGCATCAAACACATTGTTACACAGGAGAAAGCTGTTGATAAAGAACTTTTCCTAAGAACGCCAGGTTTGATATGGGCTGGTAGTTGTTCAGTACTGTGGCATCAACACTGCAGTTTTTATGGCCTTTGGAAATGTTCCTGTCTGAAGTGAGATGTTGGCTAGATGAGTGAGTTGTGGTAACACACTGTTCGAGACATGCTTGATACCTGAGCATTTCCAAATCAGTGTCCCTGTGTTGTCATTCATGAGTCTTCTTCGAACAACTGTAGACCAAACTGTTTGGTGGCAGCCGTCTCATCCCAAGCCCTGCATACCCAAGTATGATAGGAATACACTCACACTTCTGATGCCACCAGAAGATAATCCAGTTGGTACTTTGTATTTAAATCACAGGCTTGTTTTTTTCTGTAAATATTGATTCAAGTTCTGTCAATACATGCATGTGTA